GAAATGGATAGCCAGACCCTGATCCAGCCTCAGAATCCTCATCTCAAGGCATAGTCCACTCCCAAACTGGTACAAGTCAGTCCTTTCCCGAGTCCCACACAACTTCATCCCACACTCAGGCCCACCTTCAGTCCCAAGCAAAGATCAAAACCATGAGCCCCATCTTTGTTGCCATTCCTCCATCTTTTTCCACACCTCATTCTTCATCCTTTTCTTCCACCCATACGTTGCCTGCCTCTTCCCCTGTACACTCTAGTTCTACCACTCATCGCACCGAAAGTTCAACGCTGGTATCCATACAAACTGCTTCAACCATGCGTCTATCTCATCTTCTCCTTCCTTGAAGAACCAATCCACAACAGCTCCAGCCCTTTCTGCCCCCCCTCTCCTTCCCCGATCTCCATTCCTCCTTATTTTCCCTCTGTCCAACCCTCCACATTTTACCCTATGCCCTCGTATGTAACTTCTACCAAACCTCCTTAAACTCTTCCCACAATCCTTCCTCAGTCCCATTATCTACTTCTTCCTCATCCTTATCTCCCCCAATCTATCACAAGTTCAACCTTTTCCTCACCTTCTTCTTCCACCATCTCCCCAGCCCTCGCCTCCTCCACCATTGCCATCAGCTTATTCCATTTCTTTGCTCCTTCTTTCCATTCGTCATCTCATTTTTTATCACCAGTCCTACTTCTACCTCAGCATCTTCACTGGGTTCCTCATCTTTCTCCAACTCGTTGCTATTTCTTCTTTGGTGTCCTCCCAGTCTACCACCCCTCACCCAGAACCCTCTCCAGCTCCCCGTCGCTCTCTCTTCAACCCGCACATCCCACCGCTCACCTGTGCCTTCCCAACAACTCACCCTAGGTCAGAGGTTGCAAATCCAGAGCCACATTGCATCATATGATCCTGAGCCCAACCTCAACCCACCAACACCAAGATCAATGGTTCACCCAAACCCCAAACCCAATCCAAACCATGACCCAGACCTCAAACTAAATACAGGCCATGAGTTGAAACCACACCCTCCCAACACGGATACTAAACCCAAAACCAAACATCCCTCTGGAAAGCCAGACAGGGAAGGGAAGTATCCAGACATAACTCCCAGACACAGTGCCTGGGAGCTGGGCATGCTCCTGGGCTGTTCAGCTACCTTGGGCATGGTGCTGGTGATCGGCATAAGGTACATGTACCGTCAGGCCTGTGCCAAACGGACAGAGGTGACACTGAACGACAGGGAGAGAGAGTATGGGAGGGGAGAGCGAGGGCTGATCCATGTCCAGGAGTGTGGAGATTTGGTCAGAGTCCGGAAATCAGAGAGAACAGTTTTGTGCTCCTTGCAGAGTATGACATACTGGCACCGCCTGGTGACTGAAATACAGGCCACATACATGGATAAGTTTTAGGTACCAAAAGTTTCTTGACAGTGACCTTAATTATTGGAAGCTAGTTAGCCTAGCTTTCCTTTTTCCAGTAGCTTTTTCAAGTCAAGCTAGCTTAGAGCAGTCTAAACATAAAGGTTCTAAATAAATAAGAACAAGACTGATTTTATATATTCAGGCATGTGATTGGCATAGGGCAAAAAATGCAGGAAAATATACTGAAACCACCCGACGATTAAACTGGTGGCGGCTCTAATATGGAAGGTAAAGCAGAACCCATGACAATAAGTTATTTAATGGATGTGTTGCAGTGGGAATCAAAGACAAGGGTCTAATCCACTGCGTCATCGCAACCTCTCTATAATAATTTATTTTGTATTCATTTTTACCAAACTTCAACAGCTAAATGTGAAACATGAAACATGAAATAATTGAGTCTATAACTAAATGATGTAACTACTAACTTTCAAATTAGTTCAGTTGAACTTAATAGATGATTTTTAATGAATAAGAGACAGCAGCAAAGGTTGTTGCCTGTTTAAGACCTGGTGGCCTGACTGTTAAAGAAATACTTATATTCTTCAGGAAACTCAAACAGCTGATCAGTCTCTATCTGTTGGAAACTGTAGAAAAAAGTTTGACATTTAAACTCTGCCAGCGGGCGGGCGTGTGCGTGAGACGAGAACGACCGCGACAGTTTAACGCGCCAGTTACACGGTAGCCGTTGCCATGGTTACCTGGCGGAGCGCTTGTTTGCCTGTCTGTTGATGAGGAGCGCAGAGCGACCCGTGTGAAAAGGCCTTATATAGCCTAAACCCTGTCACAACCGTTCACAAGAGATTAATTAATAACGTGCCAAAACCTTTAACATAAGGACGACTTAAAAAGCAACCACTCACACAGCAAAATGTATAGGCTACATGAGTGATCAGTAGACAACAATGTCAAAGTAAACATTAGACACAGCCTCTAACAAGCAATAATCAAAACATTCCCAATTTATCTGTTCCTTATTGTCAACTCAGTGTTGGGCAAGTTACTCAGAAATAATATTACCTACTAGTTACTTACCATAGGCTATAGACCTACTCCTTAAAAAAGTAATATTAGCTACTCTACTTAGGCCCACTGCTGGGTGATAGCCTATCATAACGCCACTCTCTCCCGACGAGTGCAGGCATCACTGGCAGCAGCGGCCGGAGTTTCTCTCCTTTAGCTGATGCTTCAATTAGCCTTAGTATAAATGTAACATTAGAACTGTTCGCGGTTGAAAACTTTTTGCTGGTCGCACAAAGGTTACAACGGACGACAATGTTCTTTGCATCTTAGACTGTGACACAGTAATGGCGACAACATTACTTACAGCTGTCGAAAATACCTCTCTGTCCCTGTTCTCCAGTTGTCCTTTAGCTTCTTGGCTAACAGCTGACTAAGGTCCAGTGCCGCTGAGCTGCAGCGCGGTCGCGCATGCACGTCAGGGATGGTGCGTTCAGTAGCGCAGCGTTACTTGGATTAGTAACTGTAATAATGTAACTGTTTTGGAAATAGTAATCCGTTACATTACTCTTTACTGGGCATCACATTTTCAGGTCGGAAAATCCGGAATTCCGGATAAATCACATCCCTGTATATTTTTGCCACAGTAGCGTTGTAATTATTGATGTCAATGTTTGCATCATGGTCCAGAGCACAGTACCTTGACAGCTTCAGGCCAGATTGCTTTGTAATTTGTTTTAATCAATCCCCAGACCCTCACCTTTTGTTTTGCACCACATTCAGTTTAAAATGTTTCCTTCAACAAATCTTTGATGCTTGACAAAGTATTTTATTAAGTATTGTGGCAGATTGTCACGAAATTAGCTGTGGATTTTCATGATCCTCAGAGGATGAATCATCTTGGGTTACTATTTAGTCTAACCTTTCGTCAAGCACCACCAGCCAGACTCCCACACAAAAATGTAATGACTGCAGTGAAATCTACTGAGCACCTTCAAGCTCTCCGGGAGATGAACCCGAAAATATCAACTTTGGGACTGACACTTGTAGCTACACAGCCTATATCAGTCTATATCAGCAATTTTAGCATGTGGTTTGTTCCTACCACATTTGTACATTGAGTCTTTGCAGCTAGAGGCCATTATCAGGAGTTTTATTCTTGTTTTCAGTTTCCTTTTGGAGTTTTCTAAATAGCTTGTGCTTAAGTAAATGTTCTTGGCTAAGTCTATTTCACTCTAGAGATTTCTGCATCCTACATGTTTAGAGAACTAAAACCACAATCTGCTTACTGAAAAATAGCAGGACACTTAACACTACAGACAGGGCTTCGATGACACACACCATTTGGTGGATGCTTTTTTGTTTGTTTTTGAGTATGCATTAGAAATATAGGTAGAAACTGCATAAACATACACACAATTATGAGGACAGGGACACAAGGGCTGTCTAGCTGTTTGACTGTATAATTAGATAACATATTAGTATAAATGTAGGATTTGCATGCTGACAGTTATAACCAACAAATACCTACATTGTAATTGGGATTTTGTCCCATTGATATTCATGTACATGTTGTATAACCAAAGAAGTAAATCTGAAACATCACTAATATTAAACATTTATTTGTAAATTGTCATAAATCATTTGGATGCACTGAATAATAAAGTATATTTTCAGTATTATCCATTGTATGTTTCTTTGTTTTAGCTTTTGTTGTGTGAGCTTTTATGGATGGCAGTGCTAGTTGCTTAGTCATTTCAAATCACTTGGGTCTGGTTGCGTGTTAGAAGTGGCACAAGGCCTCCAGGGTCTGTTGGCAGGGCTTTCCCTGTCTCATTCTATTATTTCTTCATTCAAATGATGTGAAAAAAGTGCCATCTGTCCAGAAAAGTTGTGTAGATGAAATTAATAAGCTGCCTGAGTAATTCCCTGAGTGTTTTTCCCCATTTGGTCAGACAAATACATCAATCTATTCCAAACTGGAGGAGGAACCACTGCCTTAATGTGATATAGAGGAGCCCTCGTTACATTCAGGGGTGTTAAAATTCAAGAGAACATAAGAAACAAATTCCAGGCACTTTTCCAGTGTGCAAACCGTGCACAAGTGTATAATGATAAAGCCAACAAATACAGGGTCCATTTAACAACACATAAATAGCACATTATAATAAAACTCCACTATCCAATACTTAATTTGAGATAGCAGGTGTGAATTACTTTGGTTATTCTCTACCGCCACCTGAGGGCCAAATAGTTTCACTTGATGCTGTGAAATATCTCAACTTCTACAACATGGATTGTTAAAGGTGGCATTTTGTAATGACATTCACGGGTCCCAGAGGATGGATCCTACAGACTTTGGTAATCCCCTGACTTTTCATCTAGTGCCGTCATCTGGTCAAAATTTTCCGAAGGTCAAAATGTCCGATACTTTGTTTTTTGACCAAATACCTTCAAAACTAATGACACTGACTTAGCTGTACTTTGTGTTTAGTGCTAATTAGCAAATGTTAGCATGCTAACACAAAGATGGTAGCTGCTAAACATCAGCATGTTAGCATTGTCATTGTGAGATTTCAGCAGCAAAATAATATGTCCGTCAACATCACCTCATCACTCAGATAGATTTAGAATAGGATATTATTTACATACAATATTTGTAGGACATAATCTTTCAAAATAATATTTGCATTGGAATCCTTTTTTCTGCTGGATAACATCTGCTTGATAGGAACCCAGATTATAATCCTGCCTGCTTATTGGTCCAAGTTAAAATTGTCCTTGTCAGAATGTCAGAACCAGTACGTGTGGGGCAAACGTGTGGACAGGAAACTGATCAAGACTAAAACATAAAAACAGAGTGAGTAAATGTGTGAATAATGCAATTAAAGACACGTAAACTATCTGCAAGAAACCAGGAAAGATAATGATATTTTGTTAAATTAGACTCCCTACTTCAATGTTCATGTCATACCTTCATCATTTGGATAGTTCATTGGTTAACACAACACCATATCCTCAAAAGGAAAAAATCAGCTGTCATGACTGCGTCCAGCATTAGTTTGTTTCTATCAAGAACATAAATGTCTACATTTTCTGGCAGTGACAGCAAGAGTACAAAAAAGTAGAAAATACCAAGAACAATAAAAAAGAATGGTCCCAGTAACTCCACCCTTCTTGTTCCTGCTGGAAGGTGCTGTTTTCCAAACCAAAACACCCCTAACAGCTGTCCTCTTTCTGCAGGAAATTTCAGGTATTTCATATAAAAATAAAAATTGTACTTTTGATTCTTTTAAATATAAAAGAATATATGATGGAAATATGAAATATGAGTTTTTTGTTGTTGTAGAAACTGAGAACATCAAGGCGGCTGGCGCTCCTTGTTCTTTTCCGCTGCACTGAGGTCTCTGTTGATCTGTTGTAATAAGGCACATAAAACTCCACTGTAGTCCGCCATCACAGAAAACAAAAACACACACACGCTTGCGCTGAATCACCAAAACACTCATCTTCGTCAGATGGGCTGAAGAGCTGACAGTTTCACCCCCTGAACAGAGAAACAGAGAGAACAAACAGTAAGAGTCAGAGAGAGATTCAGATGAACAGAAGAGAGAAAGTGAGACCTCCACAGTCTGCGCCAAAAAGTGAACACTTTCAAAGGGAGTCTGGTGAGGGAATCCAGCACCGCCACCAGCAGGTGAACGTGACATGACAGCAAAGAGAAGGCTAAACAGCAAGTAGGGCGGACGTTTGAACATGTACTGTACCTTCTGTGTACACTGGTACTATTTCAATTTTCATGCACCTGTCAAAAGTAAACAAATCACAATATTTCATGTTCTTTTATTGCAGTGGGAAGTGTTGAATGTCACAGTCAACTGAAGTTTAAAACCTGTTTTTTTTTTCCTGCAGCCTTTTAATTGCACTTCAGGTGACTGTTTTCTACAGTAGAGTAGTAGTGAATTCCAGTGCCGTCACTGGGGTATGAGATGAGAAATAGAGCTGCAACAATTAATCAGCTGATATTAAAATATAAAATGCTTTTTAATTTTCTAACCAATTCATCACTTCTGTCATATTTCAAACAAAAATATTAAATATTTGAGCGTTCCAGCTTCTCAAATGTGAAGATTGATCGTTGTCAAACACGAGTAAAAATAATATCTTTGGGTTTTGAGCTGTTGCCCTGACAAAACAAGATTCACTTTGAGTCCTGATTGGCATGTTACGGGCATTTCTCAATATATATCGTTTAACATTTCTTAGACAAAAACATAAAAACACAGATTAAACAATAATTAAAATAACTGTTGGTTGCATCCCTAAAGAGAAACCAGTTTCTGTTGCGAGACCAAATAGTATGTATAAAAATTATGAAGGGGGGCAGACCCTGACTGACACACCAGCATTATCAAGTGATTTTATTTTATTACAGATATTATTTTCATATATTATCAATTAACCTGACGACTACTTTCTTAATTTATCAATGAATCTTTTGGTCTATTACATGTCAGAAAATAGTAAAAACGTCAATGACAGTTTCACAAAACTTTAGGATGACATACAAACACAGTTCATTTCATATTTCAGAAGCTGGAACCAACAAATATTTTGAATTTTTATTGATTGAATTATTAATTGACAAGTTGATTAATCGACTGTTTCAACCATAATCGTATCTGTGTATATGTAAGCCGATTAGTGGCCAACGCTGGTATATTTACAGTCATCTGCAGTGTAGCTGTAAAAAAATAAAGTTGCAAGACACTGGAGAACAGAAAAGCCAAAAATGTGTCTGAGATCATTTGGAAAGACTGTCTCCATGACGTAATTCTTCCACCCGAGAGAACCGATAATTTTATTTTTAATGTGCCACTCAGTACATATCTCGGTCACAACTCTTTAAAGTTAAAATGTGTAAGATTTGGCCAGAAGTTTTGTTTAAAACATACACACTAACCTTGTCAATAGAATGTGAACATCTCTGATGTCAAAGACATCTACTGAAGTTACAAGCTAACCAGCTTGTAATTTTGTTTTTTCTCGGAAATTTACAACTTTAATCTCTGAAAGAGTTTTCTCTGAAAATTACTCCATAATTAATTTATTTTTAATGTACAATGGCCCTAATATGCCATCATAAAGATCTGACTCTGATAAATTATGAATTATGCGGCCCATGCTTGCCAATCCTTTTGATCCATTTCAATTCAACTGATCCCCCCCCCCATGATGAAATATCAAAATCTGCCCATCCACAATAACTATTAGAAATAGCACCACTGCTCTTCATTACTGTGTTTTTTAAATCATGTACTTATTCCACATATTTGTCATTTGTGTCTAATCAGAGTGGCAGAAAGGAGGTTCCCCGTGGACATAAAGCGTCCTTTAACTTTACTGTTGCAGAAGAAGTGACGCACGCTAATCCAGGAAGTTATAAAAAGCTTAATTAATGAGATCATTAAAATTATCAGCTCTTTGTGTGATTAGAAAAGAGCAGAGGATCCCTTTTTGACCAGTGTGAAGAAATGCAAGGTGAAATGCTGCCCCTATTGGTTTAGAGCATGTGGCCAAGAATTACACACTGTACCTTTAAAAAACTAATTTAGGGGATCTTTTTAAACAACACTTGTTCACAATGTCTTATGATAAAAAAGCAAATATCAGTGATGTAAAGTACATTTATCGAATATAAAACTCCTCAAACGTCCAGAAATCCAGGAGCCTGTCGGTTGCACTCTAGAGTGAAAAAAGACAATGTTATAACTTAAAATAGAGGTGCGTTGAAGATAATTACATCCAAGTGTTTGACTAAACTGAAACACTGAAGGTTTATTAGCAAGTTAGTTTCCACAGTATTTAACGTCATGCTGTTAACAAGATGTGACTGGTGATTTACAGTAATTGCCTGGCATCATCAAACCCACCACCATCAGACCAGTACAACATTAGTGGTACTTAATGAAAGTGAAGCTGGAGAGTTTGCAGCAGTGAATCCAGCAGGTGTTTCTTGCAGATTGTTTTACTGACAGCAGAGGGAGCCGTTCAGAGCGTGTGTTTTTAAAAGACTCAAAGCATAGAAGGAGAGGAGGTCATATACTGTAATGTACCAGTTCAATGAAACCCAACAGATCTGCAGTTCTTATTATGAAAGGAAAAATAATTTACATCTTTTTAATTAAATAAATAAATTAGTTGTTGTTTTGGAGTCCGTTCTCTACTCACTCAGGACAGCAGTGTTGGAATGCGGCCCTATCTCAACAACAGACTAGACTGTAGGAGAGGAGAAGAGGTGAAGAGGTTATTGTTGGATTGCTGTGTTTGTGTCTCTGTGTGTGTGTGTGTGTGTACTAGTGTGTGTGTGTGTGTGTACTAGTGTGTGTGTGTGTGTGTACTAGTGTGTGTGTGTGTGTGTGTACTAGTGTGTGTGTGTGTCTGTGTGTGTGTGTACTAGTGTGTGTGTCTGTGTGTGTGTGTGTGTGTGTGTGTGTGTGTGTGTGTGTATATACTAGTGTATCTGTCTGTGTATGTGAACTGGCTTTTGTGTACGTGTGTGTGTGTGTGTGTGTGTGTGTGTATATACTAGTGTATCTGTCTGTGTATGTGAACTGGCTTTTGTGTACGTGTGTGTGTGTGTGTGTGTGTGTGTGTGTGTGTGTGTGTGTGTGTGTGTGTGTGTGTATATACTAGTGTATCTGTCTGTGTATGTGAACTGGCTTTTGTGTACGTGTGTGTGTGTGTGTGTGTGTGTGTGTGTATATACTAGTGTATCTGTCTGTGTATGTGAACTGGCTTTTGTGTATGTGTGTGTGTACTAGTGTACTAGTGTGTGTGTACTAGTGTACTAGTGTGTGTGTGTGTACTAGTGTGTGTGTGTGTACTAGTGTACTAGTGTGTGTGTGTGTGTGTGTGCTAGTGTGTGTGTGTGTGTATCTGTCTGTGTATGTGAACTGGCTTTTGTGTGTGTGTGTGTGTACTAGTGTACTAGTGTGTGTGTGTGTACTAGTGTGTGTGTGTGTGTGTACTAGTGTGTGTGTGTGTGTGTACTAGTGTGTGTGTGTGTGTGTACTAGTGTGTGTGTGTGTGTACTAGTGTGTGTGTGTGTGTACTAGTGTGTGTGTGTGTGTGTGTGTGTGTGTGGTGTGTGTGTGTGTGTGTGTGTGTGTGTGTGTGTACTAGTGTGTGTGTGTGTGTGTGTGTGTGTGTGTGTGTACTAGTGTACTAGTGTGTGTGTGTGTGTACTAGTGTACTAGTGTGTGTGTGTGTGTACTAGTGTACTAGTGTGTGTGTGTGTGTGTGTGTGTGTGTGTGTGTGTGTGTGTGTGTGTGTGTGTGTGTGTATATATACTAGTGTGTCTGTCTGTGTATGTGAACTGGCTTTTGTGTATGTGTGTGTGTGTGTGTGTGTGAGTGTGTGAACTAGTGTTAATGTGCGTGTGATAAAGTGGCAGTGTGTGTGAACTAGTGTCTCTGTGCGTGTGAACTAGTGTCTGTGTGTAGTTCACCTTCTGCCGGGTGGTCATCCAGCTGCGTATGGTTGGTACAAGGACGGAGCCGAGCAGGATCTGAGCCGGATGGTAGATCAACAGAGGAACTGAGATCAGAGAGAGATGCTCGTAGCCCTCAAACACAATCTTAAGCATGGGGATACCTGGAGGGAGAGAGAACTAAATATTTGAATATTGTCGTTTTTATTCCAAACATTCTTCTTCCTTGTCATAATGTGCCTTGATCTGTAGCCTGCAGCAGAGATGAACAGCAGTCTACAGAGATCTGGTAAGCTTCCTTCTTTCTAACTTGTTTTTTTCATTTTCAAACTTAAATTCTTCATCTCCAAATGATGCCGACTCAAGCGACATCACTTGATATTGGAGAAAGACTTTGGTGGTCTCCTTTAACATACAGTTTGTTTCTAAATATCTTATCTGGATCAGAAAAACACACATCAATCAGAATGCTATTGGATCAAAATTTTACTTAGTTACTTACAAGTCCAATGTGTGTGTGTGTGTGTGTGTGTGTGTGTGTGTGTGTGTGTTTGAGTGTGTGTGTGTGTGCCTACCCAAAGTGAGAGACTTGTGAGTGGAGCAGAATACAATGGCGACTGTGTCTGCAGGGCTGAATCCTGAACCCGACCTGCAGAAACAAAAATGGAAGTGAAAACCTTAAACCATCACTCTCTGGGTCATTTTCACACTCTGAGTCTGGCTGCTGTGACCTCTGACTTATTGCTGTGCTTGTGTATAAACTTGCTATCTGTATATATGCAGCCATCTTTACACTTGTTGATCTTAATATGAGACACTTTTTGCACATCACACTGACAGCTGTAAACTTCCTATTTTCACTCTTACTGTTTCTGCACATAAACTCCATATAGACTACTACTTTTCAAATAGTTCTACTGTTACTTCTTCATTTTAGTATTTGTATTCAGTTTACGCACTGCATTAGAAAAACTTGAAGCAATAGTATTTCTGCTCACGAGGCAGTGTGTTTTGCTTTTTCGTTTTGTTGGATTAATAAAAACAACACAACTAATCAGATTTGGATGTTCTCATTACATTGTTTGACAGCAAAAAATATGTTATGGCTGTTACACCACTTTGCTGCAACCCATATGAATTGTAAGTAAAGTAAAAGAGGAGGAGAGCAAGAATAACAGAGGAAGAGGAGGAGGAGAAGGAGCCTCACCTGGTGGAAAAGGCAAACGTGAGCAGCATGAAGCTGAGCTGGATGGAGAAAACTGCAGAGAACAACAAGAGAGACAAACTTCACTTGAATGGTAAACAATAATCCCCTCTGTTTGCATTATAATGTGTCATTTTGTTTATTATACCTGGACTTAGACGGGTGTAATTTAGTTTGTTTTAAACCTTTTATAATACCATTGTTTATTTTTTTGTAGGTCAGCTAACAGTTATACTTTGCTGTTTCTTTGTTCATTTGTTTTCTAGTTCATCTGAACACCATCACACCAACAAAAGAGTAATAATATTTTTTAATTTAATAAGTATTAAACAAACTAGATTTAACATGTTAATTATTGAGCCGAGTTTGTTACCTTTACACAGAGCCAGGCTAGCTGATTCCCCTTGTTTCCTGTCTTTGTGCTAAGCTAAGTTAGCCGGCAGCTGATTGTAGCTTTGTACTTACTGTACAGACATTAAAGTGGTATCGATAATCTTGGCAAGAAATAGAGTAAGCATATTTCCTATTCATAGTTTTCACGTGACGTCACATTACAAGGAAAATGCTCCCTTCAACGGCGGAAATATGGCAGCGGGTGTATCTTTTTCTTGAGCTGAGAAGTGATCCAAATAAAATTTAACGGCTTTTACGACGTCTCTACTGGGGAGTACGGTGTGAGCCTCTACTTTGGTCTGTTGTTTTGCCCTCCAGGTCACTGCGCATGTCACGTGACTGTTGAATTTTCTTTTAATAGAAAGTGGATTTCAACTCAGGCACCAGCAACCCTTTACCCAACACATCTTCCTCCTGCCGCTTTGTCTGGCAACCCCAAGTAAATTAATTCCGTCATATATTTCTCTTACATTTAATAAAAGTACTCTGAATGGACTAAGTGTGAAGGACTGTTTTTTTCCCCTTTGCTGAAATGTTTTGTAATGTATTCTTCTAGAGAAAGGTATAAAAAACTATTAACTTTGAGGGTACTCACTGATGAGGACGACCAGCAGCAGACTGGTGGGGTCCAGCTCAATGTTGGGGTTACTGAAGGTGTCACAGAAAGTGGTGTAGATGATCATGAGGAGGACGGCGCTGCTGACGGCGCCAAACGGAGGCTTTCGCCTCTCCAGATACTCCCTGACGAAACCACGACACACCTGCACACACACCCACCCCGAATAGAGATTTACAACTCTGCAAAGATTCATACATATTTAACCATTTCTGTACCCCCCCCCCACACACACACGCACGCACACATGCCCCTACCTGACCCAGGATCAGAGGAACCACCACAGTCATGAAGAGCTGAGAGAAGATGGAGGAGAAGGGAACGGAGGATGAAGAGCCCAGCTGGAGGAGGAGAAACAGGAGAAGATAAAATGAGGCCAACCAAACATACATAGTCACATTATTTACATGTATTTATTTACAGTATCTCACAAAAGTGACTACAACCCTCACATGTTAGTAAATATTTGATTATATCTTTTCATGTGACAACACTGAAGAAATGACACTTTGCTACACTCACTTTTGTTGCCAGCAGTTTCGACATTAATGACTGTATGATGTGTTATTTTGAAGGGACACCAACTTTACGCTGTTATACAAGCTGTACACTCACTACTTTACGTTGTAACAAAGTGTCATTTCTTCAGTGTTGTCACATGAAAAACTATAATCAAATATTTACAAAAATGTGAGGGGTGTACTCACTTTTGTGAGATACTGTATCTGGAGTTACACATAACCAGAAAACCTTATGAGGTAAAGTAGCAGACTAAAGCTTCAATTTGTTGCGCTGCCCCCAAATGGCCAACACGTCAATGAATGCAGGTTTAAAGCAAAAGTTTGACATGTTAGGAAATATGCTTAATCACTTTGTGGCAGAGAGTTAGATGAGGACATTGATGCCACTGTCTTACCTGTATGATCAATAGAGGGGTTGGTGCAATGGATAAGGAGCAGCTGGTTAGCAGCTGGAAAGTGTGAAGTGTAAAAAAAAAACTACAACAAACTTTACTTCACTGTTTTACACAGGGTTATATACTGGGACTATATATTCTGTGATTTACTGTAATGTCCCTCCCAGCCAAGAAGCAGTCCGGCACACGTTCCCTTGTAAAACGCTGAATTGCTGTTTTCACATGTTGGTTTTAATACAGATTAAACAAAGCCAGAAGTTTTCAAAGTAGGAGGGGAAACAGTTTCAGGGGAGGCTCAGTAAATGAAAAAGTATTACATTTGGTATTAAATTAGTTATCAAAAGCAGATCACACAGAATTGCCTACATGTATAATTTGATTACTTCGTGGTTACAGTGGTTTTGGGACAGTTTACAGTCTTTCCCACTTTTCCAGAGTCAGAAACTAATAAATGCCTTAGGACAGACCTTTTTTAAATATAGGTGTAGTCTGAAGTTACATCAAACAGCAATATTAGGTTATCTTGGCTCAACTGCTGAGTGTCTATGGGATCAAACATCATCATCATCATCTCATGGGGATCCAGGAAATGAGCAAAACCACGCAGGTGAACTAATGTAGTGTGACGGGGGGAACCTTTTTACAAACATTTTGTTTGAAGGGAGGCCCACAGTCTCAGACTGAAAACCCTCTGAGCTAAGCTAAGCTCTTCCAGACTGCAGCTTCATTTTTACTGTACAGAGATGAGAGTGGAACCAGCCTTCTCATCCAACTCTCAGCAAGAAAGCGAATAAGTGTATTTCTCAAAATGTCAAACAACTTCTGCTTTAAAGTAAAGAAAAATTATGTTTATGGTCTCACGGTTTCTGTGTGTATTCATTTGTAAAAACAAAGTGTATTAAACTCAGCGGGTGTGACTCACAAACAGCAGCAGCAGCGCTGGAGTCACAATGATTCCCTGCAGGACAGAAAGACACGATTACAGCTTCAGCTCCCCACAGAGCTCACGCTGATGATTCATTACTGCTGCACTCGTTTAAAGGAAAACTCCAGTTTCATGAGATCTTACCAGGAAGCTTCCAAACGCGGAGTTGAAGATGGCAGCAGCCTGGAGGCACACACACACACACACACACACACACACAGAACATACCAAGACACTGCTTATTCCTTTCCAGTATTACGCCATTTGTCAAACACTGGAGGATAATGACCTGCTAACGTGTGTGTGTGTGTGTGTGTGTGTGTGTGTTACCTCGTTGCCTCCGACAGCCTTGGTGAGAATTACAGCCGAGGAGACCGGAGGGGGCATGCAGCTCACCGTCTGTAACCTAGGCAACCACAGCAACAGGATGAAGAGGAGGATGAGGCGGTGGGGGGGTGCAGTGATGAGAACGAAGGACAAGAATCATCATCATCATCTTTTTCTACAGTTCAGAAAATGTTCCTTCCCCTGCCTTCCTTCAAAAGGTCAGAGGTCTGCTGACACACATGTGAGTGCTCTACTTTTGCAAACGTAATAATAAACCCATTTAGCGCATTAACTCTTTCGAAAAAGAGAAAAACCTGCTCAAGCGTGTATAAGTTTTGGAGGGTTGAACTGAAGTTTCATCAAATTTTCCAGTTTCCATCAACCTTTTCTAATGAGATGCTTCAATATGCGCATAAAAACGTTGATGAAAACACGACTAGATTAGATCATTAGAATCTCTTTATTACTGAAACAACAGGAGGTGAGGGAGTTATAAACACTGTAAATACAATCTGCAGTTAGTTTATGAAAGACCACAGGTGCAGTCTGGTACTTTTCAGGCTCAGGGTGGATATTGTAGAATTAATAACAACTGCTACGCTAGCAGCACGGTTCTATGGACGGCAATGTCAGTAATTTTACCTCACAGATCACCAAACAGAACAAAGATCAGCAAGGTAAAATGACTGTATTCATGCAGTGGAGTCTGGCGGCTTTATAACGGCTGTTTCTGGTACAACAAAAAGGATCTTACTCGTTAAAGGTCCATCTCTGATGGGATCCTTTCCATAATAATTGCAGTATAATAACAAACTGAGCCTGTCAGTGGCAAAAACAAGCACTTTAGTGGACGTACTTTGACAGGGCGCAATTGCCCTGGAAGAATTACATTGTAGGTCTGTTTCACTGATCTCGCTCAATACTGGACATAAAAAAAAAATAGTTGTCCCTATCAGTCACATAGACAAAAACATGGGGAAAAAAAGGTCCAGGTTGAAGAATGTAGAAGTTTCTCTTTAAGGGATTGGACTATTCGTGATTATGACAAGCTGCAACCAATTTAGGCTGAAGGCCAGAGGAGTGAGGGCGGGAAGAAGCATAATTAGCTGAATGGAAAGCACACCTGGTGTTTGCTCCTGTCTCATAGTTAATGTTTGATTTTGTGGCGCCCCCATGTGGTGTGGAGTGCAATTACACCAAAAGACAAAAAGCTGCTTTTAATGAAAACTTGACTATTTGAGTTTCAGATAAATTTACATTTACATTTATTCAGTTAGCTGACACTTTTATCCAAAGCGACTTTCAATTGCTATTTATGTCAGAGGTCACAAGCCTCTGGAGCAACTAGGGGGGTTAAGTGTCTTGCTCAGGGACACATCGGTGGGTCACAGTGGGGAGTTGAAGCCGGGTCTCCCACACCAAAGCCATGCATGTTATCCACTTTTTTTATCTCTTTTCACTCAGTTCAGACAGTTTTAATTTTAAGAGGCACACAGGAGGTCTGTTCAACACACATACACACACACCATCGCCTGTGGTAGCAGTGAATGTGGGTCCTTGTGTCCGTCCATAACTCGCCCTTCAGGTAAAGTCAGGCATGGACCTAAATAAAGGATAGCATTCACACACACACACTCTCTCTCTCTCTCTTCCTACCCTCTGAGCAGCCATTGGTCGATGGCAGTCAGTGCGAGCACTTTGAGCAGCAGCCAGACGGCCAGTGGGAAGAAGATCAATGTGAAGGACTGAACAAACAGGTGAAGTCGAACATGAAGCAGCGCGCTGGTCAACTCCTGCAGAGAGAAGCAGAAACTTCTATCAGACTTTTATTACTCACATGAATCTTTTTCCTAACAGCAACTGCATCCATCACGTTATATAACAAGTTAACAAGACAGAAGTGTCAGATTTTTTTTACCTCTGTTTTCAGTGACAGGCCGCTGTTGAAGAAGATGAGCGAGACGGCAACGTACGCGATGGTGATCTCTGGCTTTAATGGACCTGAGAGAGAGAGAGAGAGCGAGAGAGAGAGAGAGAGAGAGCGAGAGCGAGAGAGAGAGCGAGAGAGAAATGTTTAAAGCCTGATTTTGATGACAAACACTGGATCGCTTCACAAATCTAAGGTAGAACATTCAAAACAATTATGATAAAATCTTTTTTCTTTCTTTCCCTTTTCTTCAACAAAATAATTAAATCAAACATTTATTGACGATATATTGAACATCTATTAAAAATTATATTACTTTAATTGTCATTATCATCATTATTTTATTGCCCAGCACTAAGATGACAACATACTTATCGCTCACTCTGAGTCAGATCTGCAGAGCATCCTGGATGCCTTTATTAAGGCGTACCAGATGTTAACAAATTTACATTTACTCATTTGGCAGACGCTTTTATTCAAAGCAACAAACAACATACAAGCATCAATATAGTAAGAGATCTACAACTGACAATACATATTAGTAAGGGCAGCAATAAATAGTAAGAGCTAATAGCACATATGGCAACAATGGGGTAAATACCAAGTGAGAGAAGTTACTCAGAAGTGCAATCAATTCAAGATGATTGTAGGGGACAGAAGAAGAAGAGCACAGAAAGCGCATGTTTGAGGTTAGGGGTGTTATAAGAGAAAGTTTTCTCAGAAGAGATGAGTTTTCAAGAGCTTCTTTTAATGGCGTGTGGTGGCTCAATCCACCATCGTGGTGTCACAGATGAGCCAGGCGGCGTTCGTTGGAGGAGCGTAGCGGCCAAGAAGGAACGTAAACTTGTATTATGGAGTTTAGGTAGATGGGTGCAGACCCAGTAGTCACTCTGTATGCAGCAGTAGTGGCTTGAATTTAATTCTGGAGGCCACGGGGAGCCATTGGAGGTCACTGAACAATGAAGTGACATGAGTCCTTTTTGGATGATCAGAAACCAGACGCGCTGCTGCGTTCTGAACCATTTGTAAGGGTTTCACCGCACAAGCTGGATGACCTGCTAGGTGAGAGTTAACCATGGCCTGTACCAGGTGCTGGGTGGCATACTGAGTGAGGTAGGGCCTGATTTTTACACTATCACAAGTCAAGCTAATAAAGTGAAGGTACTCTTCTGATTTAGTGTGTGCGCTGCACTCTTGTACTTGAAAAGCATGTGACGGCCCAACAACTGAGTTCTGAGCGGCTGGGCGTGGGCAGACGTATTATTCTGGGGGCAGTGTTGGTTAATCGTGTCACTTTGATCAGGTTTGTAACAGAAAGTGTGCTGAAGACACAGGTGGAGCAACAGAGCAGGATGGGTTGAACAATATACTACAGTAGAAGTGGCTGGGGGGATGACAGAGTCCTTTGAGTTTAGGGATTGCTGATAGTCTTTGCTGGCTCCTTTTCTGAATGTCCTTTGTATGCTGGTTGAAGGTAAGCCCCCACCATCACCCGCCACAAACTGCCATGGACAGGCCCGACGCTCACCTCACAAAACAAGAGCTGTGTGGGCAACTAGAAAAAGCCCTCCACAGGGCCTTTTAAAAGAAAAGGCAGAACCAGAAAGTGAAATCCTCCACCACTAAGGCTCTGACAATCACACACACTTCTAGGCCTCTAAATGATGTGAGATACTCAGAATCTATTTAGAGTTTTTAGAAGTGGGTCCTACTTGTATAATGTGCCATACCGACTCGAACTAAATCCATATGTCACATTTTCTGTAACTCTGAAACGTAGAACAGACAGTTTTAGTTTTTGTTATCATGTTTTGGGGTGGCTGGGACCTCTACTGAAATAAATTATATTAACTTTTAGTGTTTATTCGGACAAATGTGTTGTGTGAGGGTTGTTTCATGACAGCGACATTTGAAGGAGAGGAGAGCATGTAGCCTTGCCAATAATTAGGTTTCTATTTTGACACTTTACCTTAAGCTAGATAATTTAGACATGGTGGTTATTATTTTTTTAAATTATCATAGACATCCAAAGGTGTAATATGGGACAATGTTCATTCCATTGGGTCAAACCTTGTTTTTTAGTGATTACATATTCCTTTAAAATCTCCATGTCAACTAATCAGTAGTGAGGAAGACCGTGAGATGCAGTTGAAAGCTAAAGGGGAAAATACTTGTAAGAGGACTCTTAAAAGTTACCTTGTCAAACTAAATGTTAGAAATTTTAAAACATGCAAAACATTGGTGAAATTTTGGTGAGAAAACCTTTAAATATATTTAAAATTCCCATAAAAATGGAGATATAATGCCAAATGTATTTTGGCACTAAAAGTAATAGTCTTAATTTAATAAAATGTTAATAATAATCAGAAATCACAGACTGTGTCACTTGTACATAGACTCACTCTGTGTCGCAGCAACCAAGAAGTAGATTTATATATGCGTTCTGTTTATTTCTGAACAACAGCTCTTGGCTGCAACCTCTGGTGTTTGATGCCGGAGTTTATGAGGAGCACCTGAAGGCAGCATCCCAACAGTAGCAGCACAGGACTTTATCTAATCTACAGGACAAGATATGGAGGTGTGACTGAGCTGACCTCTGCTGTCTCTCACGGCCTCAGAGATAAGACAACTGATAAAATCTGTATCATAAACTTAAATTCCACTCATGTCAACAGTTATGGTCACAAACCAGAACTACTGAGGCTGTTTCAGGTGGGTCTAGTGGGTTTAGTGGAAAGTCACTTAACCCTGAGAAGAAGGGAAACTCTAGTTTTCCGTTCCAGAAATATAAGTAACTTAAACTTGAATCAATGAATAATTATCTCTATCACTCATGATGTGAGTGGTCCCACTGATGGAACATAATTCATATCATATTGGAGATTATATTAATGATAATCTGAGTGAGCAGGATGGTGTTAGAAAGTTGTTTTTAAAAGGTGTTTTGTTTTAACAGGATTTAAGAGACTTTGTTTAAATTTACTACATATAAGTAGCTGAAATAAAATCTACTGAATGTTGTTGAGCCAAGATCCAAAATACATGTTTAAATCTACTGTATTTTAACTTCACTGGATCAGACTGTGAGCCAACAGTCATGTCTCTGTGTATGTGTATATATATAGAGAGTTTTAAACTCCCCTGTATTTCATCCCGATCAGATAAAGCTGAACAAATATATTAAAAATGCCCTGTCGGCAAATACACAGTCAGATTCCACCACTTTCTCACACATTATGTAAATGTTAGTCTGGTAAATAATGAATTTATTAACACTGAATAACACTTTGTTGTGTTAACTTTTTGACACGTTGCCCTGCTTTGACTGAGGTCCTTTCTTTAAAGATGGACGTGCACAGCCTGCATATAGGCTACATGCATTAATATCTCAACGTCCACTGGATTGAAATGGAGGCTGTGGCTTGTATTTACCTGTTGCCACAGCCAATCATAGTATCGGATCTCTGGCCGCGATCAGGTGTTCCGGAGTTTTCCATTTCAGGATTCATCAACTCAGAGCTCAGTGTCAGTTAATTAAACCAGGTTTCTTGAACGCACACCTGACAAAATCCACAGAGAGTAGCCTAAATAAAAAGATACGATGTAAGCAAATGACAAGATACCCAAGGGAGCGGTGAGTGACAACCGAGGTGTGTGTGTGTGTGTGTGTGTGTGTTTTCATTACTTCTGGTAATGCAACGTGTCACTGCCGTGCCAGGTAACGAGGAAGCCGCCACACACAGAGGAGGCACTATGAGAGAGCGCCTTCTACCCGCACTGCTGTTCTAACCTGACAAACGAAACTCCATGCAGAAAACCGCGACATTTACAGTAACCATCCGTTTTAACAAATATACCCATTTATTATACTTTACATTTTAATGTTAACATTATCAATAACATACCACCTTTATATCGGCGTATATCATGTACACGAAGTGAAACGTATTTAAATAGAAATTTAACATTGTGCAATAATATTCTTGTTATTCCTACAGTTTGACGCGACGCGAAATAGTTAACCCAAGTTTAAAAGTTGGCAGTTCATTAAAATTAAAATGCTGGCTGGTGAAAAACTCCGATGCTGATTTCTCCAGTGACTCCTGACGGTTAATTACATGTAAAATGTATTTCTCTACGAGATCATGTGTGACCAATAAACCAACAATAAAGAGTCTGCCACCAACGTGCCACAAGCAGCCACCTGTTAGTTAATACAACACACTGTTTGTAAGACAGTTGTATTTACAGACAGCAGTTATTTTCAAAGACTGTAGTGAACTTTACTGGAGGTTAAGAGCTGGAGGTAAAGTGACTCCGATTCACTCACCTCCTCTGACACCGACGCTGGGTTGCAGTTTGGCCGATAAGATGACCAGCACTATCCCGATGATGAACCACTCCTTCCGTATCCTCGACAAGAGGCCCATGTTTCAGCCCCGGGGTTCACCGGATCACCCCGCCGGCCCCCGTCTGTCACAGCCACCCGGAACAGAAGTCGTAACAACTCTTCAGCTTCTTCTCTGGAGGTGTTTCTGTCAGAAAACAGAAGCACAGCAAGCGGAGCCTCTTCCGGACACGTGGGACACAGAAAGACCGTAAAGACTGAAAGAGAATCGCATGTTGTTTTTTTGCTTTTTTAAATTACCGTGTTACAGGCTTCTTATACACCGTCTATGGTTACAGGTAAAAGTAACTTATCCAGTACAAGTATGACATAAATGAATAAAGTATTGCATTATATAGCACAGGTCATGTAAAGACATACCATGTTTTAAAAGTATGTTTTAAAAAGAGAAATAATAAAATCATAAATATATAAAGTAATTTTAGCAATTTTCAAACTATTTAATGATAACTAAATACTGCTATATATATATTTTTTACAATTATCTTAATTCTGTAAACAAACTTTAACTAGTAAATAAAGTTTTGTAAAATACAATTTTTTTTTTTAAATGTCAAATATTAATGAAATATGAAAAAGTTAGCAAACCATAATCATAATAAAAAACTATATAACAATAAATAAAAATGTAAATTGAAAAAAAGTTTATATCAAGTAGATAGCCACAGTGATAGTTGAGATAGAAATTAAATAGGGTTGGTAATAAATAAAAATACTAAACAAAGGAGGAGTTAATAATTAAATAAAATATTAGGTACAAGACTGATTATTACCAATAACTTTATGATAATGAGTTAAACCAAAATACAATTGGGTCTGTTTTATAAAAATAATAACAAGTTGAACAAGTGTTGAACAAGTTGAATTAGTTATATATATAAATAACAATAATAATAATAGTGTAAATCAAAAGAATTTTAACAATTATTGGCGTATTATTTTTTAATTACAAACAGCAGTTTTAAATACAACCAATAACAACATCACAGATTATATTTTATTCAAAAACATTTTTATTCTGTAAAACAGTAAATAATCACTGCCTATAAACAATATAAAACTGTTCACAAATTAAAAATTTAAATGTGAAAAAAATATGACAGATGCTTTTCTGAAAAAATATTGTATAACAAATTTAGATAGCATTCAAATAACTATTCAGAATTTCTCTACAAACTATCAAACTGGCCTCTGTTTCAAGCTTAGCATCTACAAAGACTTCTAGAGTAACAAACTATTCAAGTTCAGCATCACGGCCTTTTCTGGCTGAGATGGAGGGTTTTGTATTTGGTGACATTTTGCCCTTCATCCTCCTCCTCTTCGTTATTTCCTCTGCTCAGAAACCTCTGATGTACAGAAAGGACTAACCGCCTCCTCTGCTGTCCACATGATTAGAAACATGCAGAGTTCTAATGAGATGATTATGTTTGTTTACTGTCTGTTTATTTGCTAATTGCCACACAAACAGGACAGAGCACGCTCAAACCAGACAGCTGATTAGGGAATCTGCAATTTCCACCATTACATCATGTTTGTTTTTTGCAGCTGTGGTAACTATTATGCTGCCTTCATGCGCCTAGGAGAAAGTCTGACATGTCACACTTCCAAGTTGTCAAGTAGCCGCTGGCAAAATGTTCACAGGCTGTCTTGGGGGCCAAAAGGTTTTCACCGCTGACCATGTAATCACCATGTCCCTGGTTCGAGTGTCGCTGGAGACCTTTGCTGCATTGCCCCACCCCCCAATATTTCCTGTCACCCTTTAACTTAATGGTAACAAACAGAGCTAAATGCTAACATCAACAAAGTTCACTGCTAACATTTTCTAATTAGCACAGGTACAGCTGATACTGATGGTGACTGATAAGTATTTTGGTCATAAACCATAGTCTTGGACAAATTAAACATTTGTCCTGATGATGGCACTAGATGAAAGTCAGAGAATCAGCAAAGTTTTTGCAATTCATCCTCTGGGGGAATCCATCCAATAGTTGTTGAGACATTTCACTCAACACCAACTCATGGTGACGCAGGAAAAGCCAGCAGTTGAAAAGTGTTTAAACAGATTATTAAACAGAGTTGGATTTGTTTGTTCTGTCTGCAGCGTGTAAATGTTGAAACAGAAATGTCAGGAAGTTATGTACTACTTTTTCTGTTTATTTATTGTAAAATGCCAGTCGATGCTAACAATGCATGAAAGGCTGAAGGTGTGTTTCCCTACATTCCTACACCAAGCTTTCCTTTTTATAGAGCATCTGTATCCACCATTATCATTAACTGGTGATGAGTTAGTACCAGACAGCAGCAGTATTATCTGTTGAGTCTGTGCTGATTTCCTGACGTCCTCTGGTCTCTTTCCAGGCCAAGAGGCGGCGCACGGCGGTAGGCGTGGCCGACACCACGTCAGCGCTGTATTTCCTGATGAGGGAGTGAGCGCGAGCACTGGCCACCAACACCTGACAGAGCCACAGACAGACAAAGCAGCATGTGAAGGTTGTTGGGTGGGAGATGTTGGATAAACTCTGACATGGAAGATGAGTGTAGTTTCTTTCTGTCACTGTTCATTATACTAATGTCACGTTCTGAAATTGAAGGAATATGCTGTTTTACTGATAACAATTTAATCAAGTGTCCCAGCAAGTCATCCAGTCAGACGTCCTTCATTTAATTATTTACACCTGTTCTTACTGTGAAAAGTGCAGGAATGAAGGTGTTAAAACGTCTTCAGTGAAAAAGGGTGAGGTTGGCCTTCTTTTATTCCTCTTCAACTGTTGTTCAGTGCATTGTATCCAGGTTTAATGAGCTCTGTACTTCTCTCCACTCTTGAATTATTTAAAATATGTTACACAAAGCCCCACAACAATTGCAGAAACATTATTTACCTGTGCTTTCTGCAGCAGAGCCACATCCTCCAGGTCGCAGGCAACTTCATAACCCTGCAGGAAGTACTCACAAGCTCTCTCATACTGACCCTACAAACACACAGAGAGAGAGAGAGAGCTTGGTAAAAAAAATAAAACCAAAAACCCAAGAACAATTTTGTATTTGGGATGTTACATTTGTAATAATTTCTACAGGATGTCTTGTGAAGTTTGTCACTCAATAATTCTAATCAAATCTGCATAGGTGATTTGATAATCAGTAATTGTCAAAAAAGGAGGGAATCATCATGCTAATTGGGATATGTGTGTGTGCGTGTGTCACCATCGTATAGTAGATATTTCCCAGATACAGGTAGGCGTCCACCAGGTTGTTCTGCAGTCCGTTGTTACGGGAAATGTCAGCTAACTTGTTCAGACACTGGACTGTCTCATCTATGTTTCCCTCACTGACACACACACACACACACGCACGCACACACACACACACACACACACACACACACACACACACACACAATATAAACATGTGTTTAGCAAACAGGCTTTGACAGATTCATGGATGTTGAAACTTATGCAGACCCAGATCTTAATAACCTTACACACAAAGGACACAGATGTGATGTATGAAGTTGAAGATATAATGTGTGTGTGTGTGTGTGTGTGTGTGTGTGTGTGTGTCTACCTCTCTAAAGACTTGGCCATATCCATGTAGGACCTTCCCAGTTTGTCTTCATCCTGCAGTGTGCCGTATATCTGAATGCAAGTGTTGAAAAACTGGAAACACAAACGTGCACAGACACAGCACAATTGTATCACCGAGTGAGACACAGTATTATAGCTCTTAAAGGGTCCAGTGGTGATATTCTATATTTTTTTGTCAACAAATCCCATGAAAGACCAAAATCGACAATAAATGCATGAGTTTATTTGGACTCAATCCCGCATAAATCATCCTTCTGCTCCAAATACTCACCAGAGCACCAACTTTGGATTAATACTCCCCAACAAATGCACTATTTCCTCATGTTTGATTGATAAAAATGAACGTGAGCAACTGTATTAAGAAACTAGTGAACCTTTTTTAAATGAAACTAGATATTAGCTGTTTTGAAAGATCTACATTTCTAGTAGGGATCAATGAGCTTCAAGCTGAGTACCACAGACAGGGAAGTCAAAACGTTTTGAGAGACGAACCAATGCATTGTTGACTTTGGTCTTTTTAAGGGATTTCATGGCATTTATACAAAAGCTTTACACACACACACACACACACCTGTTTGGCTGTGTCATGGTGTCCTGCATTCTGATAGGTCAGTCCCAGTCGATAGGAGGCCTCCCCTTCGATCTGTTTGTCTTCAGCTGAAACAGACATCAGTGACTTCACAGCTCTCCTGCTCTATTGCCACCATACATTACATGTACTCTAACAATGGGTTGGTCAAAGCAACATCTCGTACCTGTATTCACATGCCATATTATATATCGTCCAGCAGAATCCATGGATCTTAGATTTTGTTGATTTTATATTTTTAGGAATGGCAGTGTTCAACGGTCGGCCCATCACTTTGGTCCAGACTAAAAATTCTCGCAACTATTTGGTGGATTTCCATAAAATTAGGTTGAGTGATAATCCCTTTAACATTTCATATAGTTAAATGTTAATTTGTACTTTGTTTTATATCAGTTAATAAACCTTTGTGTTTAGTGCTAATTAGCAAACGTTAGCATGCTAACACACTCAACTACTGTTGAACATAGTAAACATTACATCTGCTTATATCAGCATGTTAGCATTGACATTGTGATCCTGTTAGCATGCTTTATTGTCATTTCCCCTTGGTATACGCAGATTGAAATGAAAGGTTGTTTCTCATCAGCTCCCTTGCAGTGCATCTAGCATGGCCATGGACTCTTAGTCCTGTTATGATAAACTGAAGGATAACATGCCCCTTTCTGGGTTGAGAAAATTCTTGTACTTCTTAAGATGAATAAACTATTTAAAAACTTACTGATTAAAGATTTTATGGATCTCTGTCTGTCTCTCTTTCACACACAGCGCCTCCTACTTTCCAAATCTTGTATGCATTCAGTGTATTTTCAGACACACAGATACAGACAGTGTCTACCTACACTCAGCAGCCGTGCTGTAGCCCTTGTGGAGCAGCTTCAGGGCCTCGTTGTAGTCTTTGGCATCCAGCGAAGCGTCGGCCAGCCGGCTGTAAATCCTCCACAGTGCTTGGCGGGCCAGGAGCCTCAGGGGCCGACCGGCTGAGTCTATC